CCCCCCCGCCCCCTCCCCCCGGGCAGCGGGGCGAGGCGGTGAGGGCGCTGCTGCGGCGGCTCCAGGCGCTGCAGGGCGAGCGGGCCGAGGCCTACCGGCTCTTGGAGGAGTGAGTACCGGCACCGATGGGGACGGGAGCTGCCGGGGCGGGCAGGGGATCCCCAGCATGGAACCGAATCCCCCATCCCGATTTTTTTTGCATCCTGATGGGAAGAGGCTGCTGGGGCGGAGCAGCGGCCATTGGGGTGGCTGATGAGCTCCAGCTGGCAGGGGGACGCCCGCGCCGGACACCTGTATCCTATTTTAGCATCCGACAGGGGATGATGGACTTCCCGGGATGCAGGCTTGCGAGTGAAAAGGAAAAAAAAAACAAACAAAAACCCCACAAAAAAAGCAGCTGCCAAGCCCATCCCATGGGAGCTGCCTGGTCGCGGGGACCGAGGGCTGCCAAATCTGGGCAGGAAAACCCTCCCGGTGCTGCCTGCGGCGGGGCGGCAAAGGGGGCTCAGCACCAGGACAGGGACTGCGGGGCGTTGCCATCCCGGTGCCCCCCAGGTGCAGTGACGGTGGTTCCCCCCCTCCAAACCTTGTCCCCAGGGGCCACCGGGCGTACCTGAGCAGCGCTCCCCACTATGACTTCCCACGCTACCGGCAGCTGGTGCACGAGATCACGTTGGCCTTCAGCGGCATCTCCCGGGAGGTGCTGCGCATCGCCGGGCGCCTGCGGGACGAGCTCGCCCGCCCCGACCTGGCCCAGCACCTTGCCCGCCTCCAGGAACGGGAGCAGGAGAAGCTGCAGCTGGTGAGTGCCGGGCTGGGGGGGTCCCGCCATCCCGACGCAGGGCTGGAGCTGCTTGGGGGGTTCTCAGCTCCCACCGTGTCCCCACCGCAGACGGCGCAGCTCCAGCTGGCCCGGCAGCAGGCGCAGGACCAGCCCGACGTGGACGCCCATCAGCAGGAGGTGCGGGAGCTCAAGCACAAGTAGGTGGTGGCCCCACTGCCATCTCTCCCCATTCGGGGACAGCAGCATCCCCTCCCTGGGTCGGGAGCCCCTTCCTCGCATTTCTCCCCCCTCCAGCTCCAGGGGGGGCCCAGATGGTGCCTTCAAAAGCGCTCTCGGCCGCAGCCCCGGGGAGGGTTTGGCGATGCCGCGGCCGCGGTCCCCTCGGCCTCCCTGGGCTGAGTGTTTCATAAACAGCGCGGGGAAGGCGAGGCGGCCCAGATAATACGCTCCATATGGGCTTTATTTATAGTTTCCATCCGCTCTCGTAGGCTAATTAAAACCATTGAGGCAATCAGCGAAATTCTCCAGGACCTCAAGTACGATTCGGAAGAAGTCGAGTGATGGGTGTCCCCGTGGGAACGGCTGGAGGGGCCGGCCCATGGAATGGGGGCCCCACTTGCCCTCCCCGGCCCCCACCACGCCACCTCGGCAAGGTGGGCACCTTCCCCCCAACCCCTTTTCTTGGGCATGGGCTGGAAGGGGTAGAGACCCCTTGCCCCGGGAGCAGTGGGGTCCCCCCAGGTGCTGAGCATCCCTCGGTGGAGAGGTCTGGCATGGGGCTGGTTCCCTTCCCCAGCTCTGCTGGCCGTGCCGCAGCTTTTCCCAAGGAAAACCACAACCCACAGCGCCAAGGGGCTGCCTTGCTTTGACTCCCATCGGGATGCGCGCTGCCGGCTGGAGCCCCGCGGGCAGCAGCCCCCCCAAAACCACCTCGGAGATCAGCTGTGGCCCCAGCCCCACAACAGCTCCGGTGCCCCACAAGTGCCCTTTCTACAGTCATCCCACAATAAACCTGGCCCCACGGAGCTGGCCTGAGTCGTGTGATCTAAAAGGCTTGTCCCCTGGCCAGTGCCACCCCCTCCGCCTTGGCTCGGTCCCCTGGGACGGGGTGACGAGGGACACAGGTCCCGTTCGGCTGCCCGCTGCATCCCCGTCCCCGCGCGCTGCTGCTGCTCTGCTGACGCAGACCCCGGTGGGGTTTCAGAGCTTTATTGGCATTAAGCTTAAATCTGTTCCTAATTGACTGAAATGGAACCAAAATAAGGCTGGTTTGAATCAAAATTGGAGCAGGCACTGGGCAAACCCCAGCAGCCTCAAACGAGCCTGCGTGGCTCCCCCGGGGC